ACGAGTTTTCCGAATATGAGAATTGCATGCCGCAGAACAGTGGCATTTTGCCAGCAACCACTGCGGCAGCATTTTAACATGCGTCAGCTGATCTAACAAGCGATTCTTTTCTTATTCTCCATTTTCATATCTTTTCTCTCTTGTATTTGGCGTTATTCAACAATAAGAAGTGCTAAATATGAAGTCATTGTTTTATTTTTTCAGTCATAACATTGCCTAAGCCATCGTTGTTGTTCTTTTTTACATATTGCTTGCTTTTTTTTTGCGCTGTGTTCAATTTATTTTTTTCTGCTCGTTAACGCATTCTGTTTTCAGAATGATGATCGTGTTTGTGCCGTTATTTTCATGATGTGCGACCATTCGATCTTCAACTTCTCGCATGTGGGTCAATATAAATGTTGCGCATCTCATGGTTTTGAGCGATTTATTTGAAGACATTTTGGTCCAATTTTTGAGAGATGCTATTTCCACTGTTGTGTAAGAGCTATATTATACTGTGACATGTGCATGTAATAGTATTCCTAGGGATAGCAGTGGTTATGTGATGGATTAGTTTTGTGATGGAAGTTTTCTTTCCAGACGTCACAGTGATGATTAGCGTAGAGGTGACGTTGCAAAGAATGGCCGATCTACATTTCCAATCATCCATAGAAGAGGTTCGTAATGGTGGTTCGTGCGATCCGTTCACTTTGACACACCCATCTCCTTTTTCAAGCCTTTCATGAGATCTCACCTTATTACGCCCCTCTCCAATGTAATGTTGTTTTTAAGTGAAGATAAAAATTAATGTTATGATGTCAACACACTATGTTTTTCATCATTGCAGATACGAACGAGTGTTATTTTTGATGTTTACACACATTATTTACGAATGAATGTCAATTTTTATTGCAGATACATTACTTCGGAGCCAATTCTGAAGAAGCTGAAACAGGCTCACAATAACACGGGATAGCTGAGAATCAGAACAAATACAGTTGATATTAGTGTGATATGTTTTATTATGAAATTCGATCAATTGACCTTTTACTTCCAAACAGTGAGGTCGCGCGAAAACACAGGGTGTCACAAGCAGCCAATTAGAAGGAAAAAGCAACAATAGAAAAAAAGATCATTCGGAGCGGGTTGCAACGCAACAGTTACAGTAGAAGCAGCGTCAATCTCAGCTTTTGCAAAACTTGGTCGTTGAGGTATTCAAAGGCGGGTTCGTCGATCAGAGTCTGTTGTTCATATATGCTTACTGCACATCGAGCCGCATCATCATTCATCTCTCACGTCTCTAAAACGTAAATTTACACTATCTGCACATGAATTGTTGTGAGGAAGTTTCTATAAACGAAAAAATAAACACTCATAATAATAAAAAAAACATTCAGCCTTACTTTGGATTGATGGCGGTGACGAAATGTCGACAGTCGGCGGAATCGATATATAATGCCCAGCTACACCGGTCTGCTGACGGAGTATTCGCATGCTCAATAACAAGCAGAAGAATGTATGCTGCAAAGTAATAAGACACCATCATTTTCTCTCAAAGGAAAACAAAAAAAAACTCACGTTACCATTTGTCCGTGTAGCATGAGGGAAATTTTAAAAGAAACGTGGTCAACCAGACAGATGCAGAAGAGAGGTCAGCCTCGTGCACGTCAAAATCAGCAGAAATAATCGAGAGCAACTAAAAAACAGATGACCACGAGAACCACAATTTGCAACGTTTCACCAAAATACCAGCAAACCTTATTTGGAAGGCTTGTAAGAAACAGTCGACAACACTTCTTCGATGCGGCAACATGAAATACGCAACCTGAAATTATTAATGAGGGAGAAGTAAGGTAGAGTTCCAGAAAAGAAGAAGAATTGGAATAACGTACCTGTATACCGGACGGATGAAACGTTAGTTCAACATCACTATCATTGGAGATGGAAATGAGGAAACGTGTTGCAATTAACAGCAACGTCTAGAATCGTTCAATGAAGAAACAAACATTAAAGCTGAAAACGGATAGCACAATAAGAGCACAAC